TGTGAAGAGCATTTCTCATTTCAGCTGGACACAGACAGACCTGCTGCAGCAGTGGAGCTGAGGGGTGCGACCGGGTAATAATCCATATATGACGATTTATATCAGTTGAGAAGCCAAATACAATTGGAGCAGGAGTCTATATGAAGACCCACCAATGCTAGTGACACACAGAAGGTAACACTAATGCTAGCAACACCAAATCTAGTACACGAAAGCTATAACTGCAAGGCTAGTGACACTAAAGCCAGTGACACCAAGGATAGTGACACCAAGGACAGTAAGGCCAAGGGTAGAAACGCCAATGCTAGTAACACCAAGGATAGAAGCACCAAGGACAGTGACACCAGAAGGTAACACTAATGTTAGCAACACCAAATCTAGTACACGAAAGCTATAACTGCAAGGCTAGTGACACCAAGACCAGTAACCCCAAGCCTAGAAGCACCAAGGACAGTAACACTAAAGCCAGTGACACCAAGGACAGTAAGGCCAAGGCTAGAAAAGCCAATGCTAGTAACACCAAGGATAGAAGCACCAGGGCTATAAACACCAAGGCCAGTTACACCAAAACTGGTGACACCAAGCCTAGAAGCACCAAGGACAGTAACACTAAAGCCAGTGACACCAAGGATAGTGACACCAAGGTCAGTAAGGCCAAGGGTAGAAACGCCAATGCTAGTAACACCAAGGATAGAAGCACCAAGGACAGTGACACCAGGGCTAGAAACACCATAGCTAGAAACACCAAGGCCAGTTACACCAAAACTGGTGACACCAAGGACAGTAACACCAAAGCTAGTCACACCAAGGCTAGAAGCACCAAAGTCAGTAACACCAAGGCCAGAAACATCAAGACTAGTACACCAAGGGTAGAAACGCTGATGGAAGGACAGTGACACCAAAGACTAGAAACCCCACGGCTAGTCCCCTGTGTTCATCTCTCAGGTAATGCGTGAGCTGACAGATGTGTTCAAGAATGCATCAAATCCTGCAAACACAAACTCACTCTCGATTCCCACCATATCCACATCTATAGCGTGCGTGTGTGTGTGTGTGTGTGGAGAGCATCAGTGACACTAGGCTGTGTTGTGCAGTGGTGTTATAGAGGCAGCAGGGGGCGCTGTGTGTCCTAATGGAGACTCTACACTGAAGCCCATCTGTCAGACCACATGCTGAACTCAGGTCCAGACTCTCTGTGCTTATTTACAAAAACAAGCGCTGGAGTGTGTGTGTGTGTGTGTGTGTGTGTGTGTGTGTGTGTGTGTGTGTGTGTGTCCATGAGATAAATCCCCTGCACTGAGCTTCACCGGCCCTCCAGGACTGAGTTTGGACCCCCTGCACTAGAGTGATCTGAGCTTCTACCTGATGAGTGGCTCTAATTAATTAGTAAACCTTGAATCAAAGTTATAATTCTGTCATTATTAGAGCTCGTCTACTCTGATCATCCAGCGCGGGTCAGCAGGTCGGGGTTTGTTCTGTTGACGAAAGTGTGCAGAAATACTGGCGTGTGTAGAGCGTGCGGCTCGGCTCAGAGTAACGCTGTGTTGAAGAGAGAGCTGAACCTCACAGCAGACATGAGCTCACACACACACACACACACACACACACACACACAACTCTATTAGTGTGTAAAACCACGAGGTTTGAGTCCTGAAGCAGCCGAACAGTAATGCAGACAGCTGACCTTTCACAACACGTGTGTGTGTGTGTGTGTGTGTGTGTGTGTGTGTGTGTGTGTGTGAGAGTGTGTTTTGGTCTGTGTGTGTGTGTGTGTGTGTGTGTGTGTGTGTGTGTGTGTGTGTGTGTGTATTGGTGTGTGTGGGACAGGTTTGATCCTGAAAGCGCTGGACACTTTCACTCAGAGGTCAGCGGAGGTCAGATCAGTTCCTCTGACAGTTAGTGGAGCAGGAGGTCTGCAGATGCAGGAGTGTGTGTGTGTGTGTGTGTGTGTGTGTCTCCTCTTCTGCTTCACAGGACTCAGGCTTCAGATTTGCTCTTGATGACAGAGTTTTGCTTTCACACCATTAGCTCATTGAGTGTGTGTGTGCAGAGTAATGTGTGTGTGTGTGGAGGATTCACGAGTCCGGCTGCAGGCTCCTGTGAGCTGTGTGTGGACAGCAGTGTGTGTAGGGTAGTGTGTCCACTGTCATGCTGGAGTGACAGAAACACAACTGATGTAGGACTGCGGTTTCCCCGCCCACTGATATTGATTGACAGGTGTGTGTGTGTGTGTGTAACATGTCACCATAGTAACGCGTATAATCATGTCCACAGAAGAGGATCAGCGCTGAAACTGTGATTAAAGCTCTGTTCAGCTCTCTGTGATCAGACACAGCTGCACAATTCAAAACCGCTGGAGTCGCCACAGCTGCAGTGTCAGTCAGTATACCAGAGTGTGTGTTAACCCGAGAGTGTGTCACTGTGAGTGTGTGTTAACCCGAGAGTGTATTTAGGAGTAAACTGCAGACGGTCTCCTGTGAGGGTCGGGGGGAGGGGAAGGAACAGACAGTCTGGACAGCACATACATCACTACCGCTCTATGTGTGTGTGTGTGTGTGTGTGTGTGCGCACTGCTGTTCCTCTGGATTCCCTCATTGCGTGTCTGAATGACCTGATGATGGAAACCTTCAGTGACCTGCTTCTCTACAGATCAGCCGTCTGATTGGTCATACAGACAGCCAATGAGAAATCACCACGGCTCTTTCTGATTGGCTGAGTGTTTCCGCCCTGCGCATAATTTTACTCACCCAGCCTCTCTAATAATCCTCAGAAACACACACACACAACACACACATATGGGGAATAACTGCAAAACACTGCTCTTGCTGAGAGTGTGTGTCCTGTTTCTAGAGCAGATATCGTCAAACTCTGAAATCAAGTAGCATTTAATAGACCAGCACAATATTGTTTTGAGAAATGAGGAGTTTCCCATTAAAACAAGCAGAATAATAAAAATATTCCAAAGAAAACACGGGATGATTGAGCTCAGCCTGTTGCCAGATTATTTTGAAGAGGTGAGAGTTTTAGCTGAGCTCTCCCTTTAGTTAGACATGTTCACAGTCACTGTTTTATTTGCTGTATTTTGTAAAAGAAATGAAATCAGTGATGAAATCTCCCTGGTGAAAGGAGAGACGGTGTCTTGTTTCTGTATTTGTGTGTCATGTTTGTGATGATCCTGAAAGCTGAATCTCTGTAGATGAGCTCTGTTCTGCACAGCGCAGGCTTCAGCGTATGGGAATGTGCCGGAGTTAGAGGACAGATGGAAAAGCTTACAGGACTGATGATGATTATCCTCCATCAGCGGACCATCACAGCGAGGAAACCCTCACGTCTCCTGCAGAGGATCTGATGGTCTGAAGCCAAATCAGATGTGCAGTTACTGAAGCTCCTGCAGATCATCTCTGAGCTCTTCATCTGCACACTGCATATGTCCACCACGACAACGGTTCAGACATCCATCATCCTTCAGCTTAGTCCCTTATTCATCAGGGCTCACCACAGCGGAATGAACCGCCAACTATTCCAGCATATGTTTTACACCCTTTCAGCTGCAACCTAATACTGGGAAACACCCATACACACTCATTCACACACACACACACTCATACGCTACGGCCAGTGTAGTTGATCAGTTCCCCTATAGCGCATGTGTTTGGACTGTGGGGGAAACCGGAGCACCCGGAGGAAACCCACGCCAACACGAGGAGAACATGCAAACTCCACACAGAAACACCAACTGACCCAGCTGAGACTCAAACCAGAGACCTTCTTGCTGTAAATAGAAGACATAGTCCTGAATGCAAGACTTTGAATATCAATATGCAGATCAAATACAGGTTTTGGCACTGTTTACTGTTTCATAGGAAGAGAGTTTACACTGAAAAAAATGTCTGCAAAATTGTTGCAAACAATTTATTTGTGTTGAATTCAAGCAAACAAATTAAATTTAGTAATGTTCAACTTAATTTGTTTGTTTAAATCCAGCTGAAACAAATTGTTTACAACCACTTCACTTTAAATATTTTAGTAAATTCAAGGAATCATCTTTGAATAATTTTTTTCAGTGTATGGGTATATTTTAAAATAATAATAATGCAGTCTAAACACAAAGCAGTCATGACACACTATCATATGAAAGCCTGAAATGTGTAGTTCCCATATCTGGTGACAGATTAGTGATATACATTACTGAGCAACAGCTATTTAATAAAATGCAACAGAAAAACCCATCGTAAAGCATTACTTTGCTACAGCAATCCACATGTAAACAATTTTATTGCTGTTGTTTTTTTTGGTTGTTTTAGAGGCTAAACTCAAAACAGACACCTCCAGACTGCACACACTACTGTAGAATAATATGTCTGCTTCACTAATATTGTCACAATACAGCTCATATTGCTCAAACACAGGGGGCGCTGTTGTATGATCACGAAGGTAAACTGAATGTGGCCATGTTTGGTACTGCAGCCAAACTAAACACTACTGAACACTCGTGTGTGCAGAGATCAGCTTCAGTTCTGCAATATAATTAGATTTTTAGCTCTGATTTCTTGCCCAATTGAATGTAAACATGTTTTGTGAAATGCACATTTTATGTAATATATTAAAACACACATGCTTTGCTTTATTATTTTCATAAACATTAAGGCAGATTAGTTTTGTTCCCCTTTGTGAACTTTATTTGACTGCAGTCTGAAACCTGCGCTGATTCTGAAGCGCGGAATATTGACAGTCACTGGAGGTGAGAGAGTAGTCTTGATGTCTGAAGCTGTCCATGGGTTAAAGCACAGTGTGTTGTGATTGTATTGTGTCTGACCCAGACTCGGAGTGAATGCTGATTGTGTGAATCAGATTATTGTCAGAGAGCATGTCTGTTTGTTTAACCTCTTCACCAGTGCTGAAGCGTCCGCACGGCGCTGTCGTTACGCAGATTATTTCACGACTCATCAGACACAGCAGGAGCAGCTCAGCAGCCGGCCATTAGTGTCCATTACCCCTGA